AAAGTATTAGAGCTTTAGTGGAAGAAAAAGTATTTTGCAGTCTCTGGTGGTTTATTTTTAGCTAACTTTTGACTGAGTTAGTGCATGCAGCTGTGCTGAATAAAAACGGCCAACTTTGGAGAAACAAAACTGAATAGTTAGAGGTTTATTACTATATAATATATATATTTTAACCTCTTAACCTCCACCTCATTTTGGGTAATCCTCGCCTAATTTGCATACCCAAATGGAAAAGTAAATAACTTGTAGGCCTAAACTACATGTGTAATACATTATTTGAAAGCGAACACCGTCTAGTTTCTGAACATATAAATATGAAATTGGGTGAGTAGAACACAGACCAACTTGCATCAGTTCAAACATGACTCAATGTTTTTTTTTTTTTTTTTTTTTTGTATTATCGGAAATGATAGTTCTTTTTTTAACAGCAGTAATAAAGACATTCTAGAAAAAGCAGGTTTTATTGTATTATATTTGTTCTACATCATGTCAACACCAATGCAGAAGATTTCAGACCTCTAGCTGTAACAGTTCCAGAGCTGTGGGGCTTTGAACTGTTGGTGTCAGCTTTGAGCTGCGTGCAATGGCTCCACCTGCTGGTAAAAATTTTACCAGTGGAATTTTATGCATTCTGAGTTATTAGCCCCACTTAAGGCCACCGGGTCGCCGGCGACCCAGTGGGTTTTAAGAGGTTAATGGACTATGCAAAATCAAATGCAATTAAAACTCAAACGATTACTTGGGGGGGATAATTTTCTGGTTTTCTGTGCTTTTGAATTAAGGAAAAATAAAATAGATTGAAAAAAAAAAATTAAAACAATTAAAGCCTGTAGATGCATGGTCATAAATTTGTATTTTACACTTGGTTTGATACAACGCCGTCAGATTTTAATGTCAAACATTTTTGTCTATCACAGTCAATAGAATAAAAAATTCCAGTCAAACAATCTGCGTTGTAACAACAGCAACAAAAAATAAAAAGCAGGCAGGATTGTTTTGTAATACGGCACCAATCAGTCTTTTTAGCCTAGTTGGGGCTTTGAATGTTTGTTTAACTTTTCTTCATCTTTTATTTTGTCAAACTGGTCACTCTGTCATGTAAAAAAGGACATCTTCCCCTTAACTAGCTACATACATGGATGACGTCATTTTTTATTCCAGGTCACAAACAAAGCCGAGCATCTTTTGACTTTTTAACCTTTTATATCCTAGAAACGCTTGAGATTAAAGACTTTTAGATGACTTGAAAACATCCTGCGCACAAACTCCAATCCAAAGGAAAACATCAGTTTGACATTTAGCAGGACAACATGAGCTTTAATGATTCCACATGCTCATACCAACAGACAAATTAGCAACAAACCCGGGACATCAAAGGCCACATGCACAACAAATGAATGATTCCAACTGTTCTCTGTGATGCTGGAAAAGTTTGGATTAGAAAGCCTACATGATGTTGAGCATGTTAATACCACGCGTCGCACGAGGATCTCTGTGTTTCAGCAACTGACAAATGTCAGCCATGATGTCATCGCTACCTCAGGTGGATGTAATGAAAACAGATTGTCCAACAAGGGAAAAAGGCAAATAGAGGACATACTCTCCTTTCATGACCACATCAGAATAGAGATATTTGTTACTCAACAGAAAGCATTTCATAACTTGAAGGCTTAATTTGGAGAGATTTGGTCATCCGCATGAGCGTACATCTACTGTTTGGCTGAAGCCATTCCAGAGTAAAACGGGGAGCATGGTTTGGAGCATGTCAAACTTTGAAAAATATAAAACAACATGAAGATCATCTGGATCACATCTGCATATTTTTTTTCAACAATGCAGAGCAGAAGTTTTCAGGGAATCAAATATAAAAAAGAAAGTGAAAAAACTTGATTTGCATTATTGTTTGTTATGATTAGTAAACACCTTAAAGAAGATAAACCACTTTAATGAACAACCTGAGAAAGCTTTCATATCATCATCCAAATCATTAAAGGGGATAAGCTGTTCCCTTACTTACGGAAGAGGATGCTAACTGATTTTAAAATTTTATTTCAGTTTAATATGGGAAAATAGTCGAAATTCTGAGAAAAAAAAGTCAGAATTCAGATTCTTTTCCCATATTAAACTGAAATAAAATTTAAAAATCAGTTAACTTTTTTTTTCTCAGTGGCCCTAACCCTCTTCCATATTTACTTTATAAAATATTATAAACATATTTAGCCCCACAAATAAATAATTAATATACATTTCTGCAATAGCTCATAATTACTAGTCATATAAATTGGGATTCATCAATATTTTAAGGGCTTCAAGCCTAAAAACTGTTTTTTGTGAAGACATGATGATATTTAAATAAAGCGTGCTCAGACTGTTATTAATCGTTATTAATAACAAACTGTAATTACTGTTATTAATGGATCTCTGCACAAAGTTGAAAACAAGATACAGGCAGCATGGATTAAATCAAGACGATTCTTCTGCTCTACAGAGAGATGCTGCCTTCTGATTAGGTGTCGAAATGTTTCCAAAAACAGAAACTGTGCGAAAGTCCAGCTGCCTCCAATTAATTTTTTTTTTTTTTGGTTCTGCAGGATCAAGAGAAAACATCAAAATAAGGGTTCAAAGGCCAATGGAAAAAAAATGTTTCTGTAAACCCCGAGCAGAAAAATGTAGGGATTCAGAGGGGACAAATTATTGTCTAATGAAAAAGAAAATATAATATTAACACTAAAAAGAAGTTTGCAACCCTCCTCTAAAATGACAGTAAACATAGAATAAAAATAAAATAGAAAGCAGCAAAAGCATTTGCAGAAAAAGGTTGACAGGGAAAATCTTTCTGAAGGACAGAAGTATGGACCGCATCCCTCTTATCCTTTAATCAAATGAAAAAATAAATGTTTTAATTAATTTAATAATGAATCCTGATCTCAAACAAAGAGAAAACCTTCAGCATGACCTCTGGAACAGGAAAGAGGAAAACACTGGAAGGCAATCCTCAAAGGTTTTCTGTTTGGGAAAAGATGCTCCAGCAGATTTGTTGGAACTAATAACTGTTTATCTGAGGTACAATATTTCTTTCCTTCTTTACAAAATTGATGGGATTCATGCAAACAGTGTTCCTGTTCAGTCTATCAAGTTTCTCTAGTTTTCACTTTTTAGCTTTCTGATGTTTTGGAATGTATACTATAATGTATATTTTAAAACTGAGGCTCTTTCTTTCATCAAAATTGTGCACAACGCTCTTTTAGTGTTGATTGAAGATAAAATTATGAAGACAATGAAAGGTCCATCATTGCTTTAAGTGCTTCATTTATTTTCTTTATGCTCAAAATAAAGAAAATGTAATAAAAGCTTAGCTGGCAACTCAAACATAAACTATGAATGAAATTCCAATGAAACAAATCATGCACTAAAGACTAATCTAAATGGTTTTCAATAGAATTTGTCTTGCTTTTTGACTGAACTGTTCATTTAGATCCCTACATAAGAAACCTTTATTATAGAAAAAAGGAGTAATATATTAAAGCTAAAAACAGCTTGAACTATATCGAGAAACTTAGTCAAATCAAGTAACACTCATCACCTCTTTATGAACAAACAGCAGACTGTTTGCTTTTACATTTTATTCAAGCATTTCTTGAAGCTAGTTTTATTCAAACCCAAAAACAAGGTAGAGGACAACTAAATTATCAGACACTCACCGAATCAACGGATTGGTTCCCAGAATTATAAAAAAAACTGATCATGTTTTATAATATGTTGTATCAAGAGCATATAATGTGGGAGTTTAATCTATTCCTTATAATGACTAGTAATAAATATTTAAGCACGCAAAGGTCCCCCAATAACAAGCATAAAGATGTAAATTGATTAGATTTATAGGTCCAAAGTGAAGCATCTCCAGGATGACGATAACGAGCAAAGTAATCATAAAACACAGATTCTAGTTATATAGGTGTAATAAATAATGGGTCAGGACCTAAAGAAAAAAACACCCTTTGGTCTCTCTGTTAAATGGCTAAGAATGCTTCTGTAATAAGCTAAGAGGGTTCAAGGACGTCAGCAGAAATCCATGAAAAATATGAAACCACCAAACAGACAAGGACATTTGTACTCACAATTAGTTTCACTGCTATACTCTTAAAGATGCTTTGAGTCATTAGCATAAAAATTGTGTTTAGAAACAAATTATATCTTCTTTTGAAAGCATAAAGGTAATGTGTCTGTGGGATCTTCACTTGCTTGTTGTAGACAGTCGTTAAAAGGCACCTTTAAGACAGGCAGCTGATGGATCACTGAGGTCTAACACTGTGGAAATGCTCTCCCATAACCTTTTTTAACAATGCCACCGAGTATCGACCGTGTAGAAAGCAGCGTGGTTCTGTAAGCAGAGCAAAATTAACCTATAAAAATGTGTCCTTGTAATAACAGGAATGTGTCTCTATTCATTCCTGAAATCAGAAAAAAAGGATATTATCAATTAAAATGATTAAACCTTTAGGGGTAGAGAAATATTGTATTTGTTAAGATGCAATACTTTGTTTTTTAATAGTGATGTATAGGATAAATCAAGAACAAGCCTTTAAAATACGCAGCGAAAAAAGAAAAAACCATCGTGACAGATGATGCGCAATAATGCAGCGGTGGTAATAATTCTGACTTAGCCTGCATTTCTCTCTTAATAGAAGAGTAAAAATGGGTCTCAAAAAGGTCCTGCACTTTTTGCTCTCTATTATAGTTTGTGCCATTTCCATTTAAGTAATCGGATTACATGTAGATATGTATAGGCCCAGACTACACGCATCCAAACAAAGCCTGTAAATGGGTAAAATTAGAGGCACAACAACCAGCCCAGAGGAGCTGTGTGGTTCAGCAAATAGAGCCGGGGAGCACACAAACATTCACACACAGTGAAGTGCAACAGGGACGCAGTAGAGCAGAATTCTGTTAAGCTGAATATTTTATAAGCTGTGTTTTCTGTTTGCAACTGTGACTCCTACCCAGTGTTAATGGAGATTATTTCAATCAGAGGGTTCTTTCTGATCTTTGGCAGGTCCAACCTTGCACCTCCAAGTCTTTTTCCTCCGTCTTTCTTCTGGCCCAACAGGCGAACAGAGTGACCTGGAAACATCAAAAATACAAATTTACCAACATGTTAGCCACATCAAAAACACTTTTCCTGTCACAATTACGTGTATAACAAATTTTACAATGCACAGATTCTGGCTTAAGGGGGAAGGGTATAGGAAACTTAAGAAATTAACTTAATTATGATTGTTTATCATCTCAAAATAATGATTTTGTAAATAATAGTACAAAAAGAAAAACAGAGGGACAAAGATACCAGTGAAAGTGGTAAAACATTAGAAAAGAAATGCAGGAAAAGAGGCCCAGGATAAACCATCCTGATTCTAACACACCACAAACAATAGTCTTTAAACACAGGAATCCTACTTTTTTATGTGCAACAGCTCTCCCAACAAATACTTTTGTCTCCAATTGTCTATGTTTGTGTGCAGCAGACAAAATGAGGGACTGACAACCTATTAAGTAACTTTATTATGGATAAGATATGGGAGAAAACATATTCAACAATAAGTAAAATCCAAGTACAACGTTCCTAATGGCAATAACTACCTGGCCATAAGTGAAACTACAACCACCTCTCGTAAATCAGGAATAAGCTGATCAGCCCTGGTTCAGTTTATCTGGTGACACTCAGGCCTGGTTACTGGCTGACTTGTAAAATCGAGAATTATTTTAAAAAGAATCGGTCTGAAAACATGAAGTACGTATTTAATGAACAGATCTACACCCGTCAAATTTAAAAGCAGAAAAAAGGTTTATGATCTCTGTCCATGTGGAGGGGATTGGAGGCAGTGCCACCTCACTAAATTATTACCACAGATAATCAAAAAACACAAATGATAAGAAAACACCTTAATAACTTTCTTCTGATATAGTAAAATGGTCATTTACTATAAAATAAATGGATGTAAAACAGCATCTATGGAAGAGTGACCAGACCAAATCCACAGCTGACCAAAAACTATACCAAAGTTGTTCTCACTTTTCCCCCAAACACCTCTGAATGATTCTAAAGCTTTTATTTAGGTAAAATAATCTATGCGTATATGAGAAATAAGAGGAACTTTTTTAAAGGTGTTAGTCATGTTATATTGTTGGTGAAGATTCTCAGTTATATTCAGAGCAAAGATGACAAAACTTTTAGAGTGTACTAATTAAAGAGGCATAAAATCTATAAATTGTTTTATTAATTGTCTTTTAAAGTTTAAAACACAAATATCAGCCTTTCCATCTTTTTTTCAAATAAAAGAACATTTAAATATTTCTTTTTCTGAAACAGTATGCTCTTGAGACGCACTACCCCGTAACAGAGATCCTACCAAACACATATGATCCAATTTTGGAACATGAGGCAGCATCTATTACTGGTAGTCAAAGAATGAGTTGTCCATTTTAAAATTTGAGAAATCTTTGTGTCAACGTGTTCAATGGATGTGTAGCAGCTTATTAATAAAATGGGGTGAAGTGAGTACATCTTTAATACAGTTCACCTAAGAAAACACTTGGTTGAGATTTGTAAAACTAAAAATAGGCAAAGAGCACACACTGGGACACAATAATATCCGTTACTCTGTGGGAAAGTTTTGCTCAGGATTCGAAAATCATAGGGAAAGTAGATTTAAAGGTGTCATAGTATGCAAAACAGAGTTTACATGGTCGTAGATGAATAACGATAGTTTAGTGAGTGAAATGGACGTATAGAGAATTTCAAACCCCATCGACACCTCCTTTCTATGCAAATCTCACAATTCTAAACTTCCACCATAAAACAGGTGAATCCAAACAAAGCCCAGAGTTGACGTAAACTCGGGGGTGGTGCCTTATTTGGTTCTGGCCTGTTCTTTTGTCACGCCACGAAATTTACAAACGGACCAGCTCACTGGTTCAATGGCTCAAGAACATGAACAGAGGTCACGAAGATATTAGACACTAGTTTAGCTGTATAGCCTACAGTTGGGTTTACTTCTACAAGAATTACAAAGCAGGCAGTTTCTCTATTGAAAATGAGCCAGGACCAGGGGCGTAAACGCAGTGTTCCAGGCTGCATGGAGAAAGGGGAACATTTTCACAGTCTTCCCAAGGATCCGAAGACTCAACAGGCATGGATTATTTTTGTGTATCAGAAGATCCTTGCAAAGTTCGATGCTCAGATGTTCATTTGCTTTAAGCATTTTACCAAAGACAGCTTTCAAAATCTTGGACAGTCCAAAGCAGGATTTGCTAAACTTCTTTTACTGAAACAAGAGACTGTTCCGACCATAAGGCCGTCACAACCGCAAGCTGTAAGAATAATTTTGTCGCTAAGCTGTTGATAGCATGCAAGCATATCTAGGGTGACCAGATTTGGGCTTCTGAAAAGCAGAACACTTTTTGGGGGAAGGACGGGGCCACCGGTGCCCAGACTACCCTTACCGGGTCGGGTTCGGTGGCTCAGTCCCCCGCTGGCTCCCCGCTGCTGCCCGCCGGGGTCCCCGGAGTTGACGGCTCAGTTCGAATGCTTGGTGGGTTTTGACTATGTGCTGCACTGTAGTCGACCAAAATCCCGGACAACTTTCAAATCCCCCCCGGACATTTGTTATGGTGTGAAAAGTAGGACATGTCCGGGATAAAAGAGGACGTCTGGTCACCCTACCATATCAACAATTTCGATGTTTCAGTGAGTGAGTGCTTGTTGCTATGATGCGTCTTTGCTCAGCAGCTTCGCTCATTGTAAACCAACCAATCAGAGCCTGTTGTTGCAATCTAGGGATTTTTAACCTGGCTTGCATTAGGGCACACAGAACAGCAAATATGCCATTTTCAGCCCAACCAATGTTACACACTCTATTCAGAGACCTTAACGACTAGCTCCAAATACCCTATATAATGACCACTTTATTAGAAAGAGCAGCAGCAACCCAAGGCGTAGAGACAGTTTGTTGTATATCTACTATAGATCTTCAACAGATTCTGCAGTCAGGCTGCAGACTTTACAGCAGCTCTGTTTGTAAGTATAAAGTTCTTTGGCTAATAAAATCCCTCTTTTATAGTCCATCTAATTTGAATATTTATGTTACCTACATATACAGTTTAATTAACAATATTTACCTTTTTTCTTTACTTTTCTCATTCATCCAAAATAAATATCTCTGGCGATAATTTAAGTAATTATTGTTTATGTGTTTTGGTCCAACTCTAATGAAAAATTCAACACCAGCAGATCACTAAACAACTGTGCGTGTCAGAGTAATGATGCTGGATGAATCCACAGCAACAATTACAGGTGTGTGAATGCTGCTATTATTAGTTTTTTATATTACAGCTTTTGTCACAGTCGTTCAGCAGAGGAGTGATTTCACTGAATTCACTTAAGGTCAGGGCTAGAAACTTCAAATCTTCTGGACTTTCAGCTTTCTTTTACTGGCTTTTTATCTTTTTTTTCCTCCTTTTTTTTGTCAAAAATCTGTCATAGGGAGAAATGCAACTAACAAACACTATAATCCTGAGTGAAAATTTCATATTTTCATATTTTGTACTCTGTATTTTCTCTGATATTAGAGGCGTTTAACCTCTTTTTTCAGGGTATGATGACAGTAAAATGTTCCGATTCTAATCTAACTGATAAAAAAGAACACAAAATAAAAATGTAAACAGGAAATACAACAAGATAATATGACTGCAGTTCAAGGGGAATGAAACATTAGCTTTATTGTATAAAAATAATCTTTTTTATTGTTGTTTTTTCAAAGGCATCCTATAAAAAAGGTTTTTGTAAAGTCCGGATCTGACACATTTACAGGACTGTTAGGTTGTGTTAGTGGCCTTATTTCCACATAGCTGTACCGTTTGACTGAAGACAAGTTGGGAACGGACAAAAGTTATCAAAGCAGCAAAAAGTGCTGATGTTGGGCATTCTAATAACAATCAGGGGAATAACGCCTGATTCTTAAAGTCAGATCCATGCTACAGACCAGTCTAAACCTGCTAATTTAACTCTAAACGAGGCTTTAGTTATTTTGTGCCCTTGAGCACCAGGCTATATTCCAAGAATTTGTAGAATATTGGCAAAGTGTTTGACTTGACTTGAAAGGACATGCATTTGGGAAATGAGGCAATATACATTGTAGTAAGTAGGTCACCAATTTGCATAAATTAATTCCTATAATTATTTTCTAGTTATTACAAGTGCAGACAATGAAGGGTACACATGAATAAAAGAATAGGTCTAATTAAAGGGTTCTACCCTACTTAGATTTACATTAGATACTATGACTAATCCTACAATCAAAGTATAATTTTGATGGGTGTTACTTTGTTTCTAACATAACTGAACATCTACCATTAAGTGTAATTGCTCGTAATATTCATAGTTTGAGTGTAAACAGCAAGATGAAGGCTCTTTACTCAACCCATCCAAGAGGGTACCAGCTGCAGGTGTGCAGGATGGAGGCACTGAGGGATGGAATTGTCTTCCTGTTTTCATCCTCTCTACATGAGTCTCCTGGGAAGGAGGGATCAGGCTGGGAAGCAGAGTTATCAATTGGTAGATAAAAATGACAAGCTGCCCCAGAGGAGGACAGAGAGCCAATCAGTGAGCCGTGACTGCTTGTAATATCCCAGAACAAGCAAGGAAATGAGAAATGTTCCCCAGTGGAAAACAGCTGAGGCTTTGAGCACATTTGGCCGTCCTTTCTTCAAGATATCAGAGTTGTGACGATTAAACAAGGACACGAACCTGCTGTATGCTCCTTTACTACTGTAACTAGTATGCAGTTTTTTTTTTTATCATCAACCAACTAAAGATAGAACATATGAGTAAACCCCACAATAAAACAATGCTAAGTGTCTAATACTAAGGGAAAATCCATTAAAATATATAGTATTTCAGAATTTGACTCGATTTTATAATTCTTTATTAGACTGTATATTTGACCAAAATTGAAAAGAATCTCAGATTCAAGGAGCTAAATGTATCCAATAATGATAAACAAGGTCGCACTAAAGACATTTTCTGATGACACCAAATAAACCACAGGCATATAGCATAATGTCAC